GTGGGCATTACGGGAGAATAATGCCCTACAATTCAGTGACAATTAACCAATCAGAGCGCGCGTTATATCGGCCACAAGCCAAAGCCATATAATAATATACAATAATGCCTTAGTGTACAGTGCTAAGGCAAATAAAGGTTTCTTAAAGGTGTGAGTACACCACATGAGAGAGGAAGACTCGTCTTTTTATCTGGGTGTAAGGTAACAACAAAATCATTTCTAGTACACAACAAATAAATTCATGTGTAGGCTGAAAAAGGGCTTTTTTATTGTGTTATCATGCTTGTGTCAGTACTTTTGATAAATTAATTGACATACCAGGAGTCTGACTCTGTAGCAATAGGGCACGTGACCATTGATAAGTATGCAAATGGCAAAGGACTTAAATGTTATTGACCAGCTCATATCCTGCCAGCTGAGAACAGTATTGATTACTATTTCAAACATTTATACTCTAAGAGTGATGATGAAATGTCATAGGCTGTCTGATGAAAGAACATAAACAAGAAAGGTAAAACACTGAACTTACATAAACTTTAGAAAGAGATGGAGCCATCCACTGGAGTCCTTGATATATGTTTTTCAGCGAAACCCTGCACTCCAGAAACAGATAATGAAGGAGCATCATCAAACCTTGATCAAAGGCAGCTTGAGGTTGTTTGGGAGAGGATGGCCAAAAACCATTTCTAACCAGGGTTGCAGCTTCAGGCTCATGCTCACAAAACTTAACTTTTATGGAATGCTGTCCTGAAAAAAGAAAGTGTACAGGACTTTGTGATAGCCATTTGTACTGTAAATAATGGTTAATTCATCATGTAGGGCTGTTTTGAAGAAGAAAGTGCAAAAATATCAACATAAATACAATTAACAGTGAACTGTTTTGTAACAGTTGGGAGAATGCTTTGGCAAAACAAATATAAACAAGATTACAAGATTAAGAAAGCAATTATAATCTGTTTAAACAAGTAATAGGTTTGAAAATACCTAGTGGAGCCAATATATGTAAGCCTGGCTCCTAGCGCTGTGTAAGCAATTGGCAAAAATATGTCACAGAAACATGCCATTAAATTTTAAGCAAACCTGTACAGTTTTTAGCTCTCACATATTTAATGTAAAAATGTGAGAACACGTTGGCACATAGCTGTGACTAGTATTTACTTACCAGTTACACCAATTGCTGTAATTTCACGGATATATCCGTGATTATTGTTGTGAGGTGTCGTCCAAACGCATTCATTAAGTACATAAGGAAGGTATCTACCATCCTGAATGAAAAGGGGAAAAAATGAAGAACAGCGACCAATCACAAGCAACAGACAGTTCCACATATGCACAAGCAACAGACAGTTCCACATATGCACAATCAAGCCCCAGTTAGTTCTTATAGTATGCAAGAAACAAATAGTCACACCTAGTCTGAAGCAAACAATTCTTATTTAACCTATTCTCGTGAAGAAAAAAAAAACCTGCTTACTTTATAAGTCTTTATTAATGTGTAGTAAAGTAGTACAGTACACTAACCTTCCAAAATTCTGGATAGTGTAGGGATCTACCTCCACCATGGACAGTTTCTATGCGTTCTTCACACAAAAACTGTCCAGGGCCACAGTGGAGGCATCTCCCGAAAGCATCCTTTCCACAGGAAGGAATGACACATTTCTGTCCTTCTTGCAATGCCTGCCGATATAGAAGGGCAGACACAAGTCCTTGCCTAATATCCACCCAGGAAGCAGCAAGTCTTGCCTTTCTCTCACGGTAGGCCTGCAGCGTTTTTTTCAGACGAATTCTACGAATTCTAGGTTTCCTCTGGGTGGTTTCCTCGATCTCATGAATATCGTCAGTATCGTCCATAACATTCTCTTCGACTTCGACTTCACCTAAGCTAGAAACCAACGACGTCGAGGCCTGTTGAACTGCATAACGAAGCGGAACACTTCGCTTTGACTTTTTAACTGCCTTACCTCCTTTAAATTGCACAACAGTTACCTTTTTTTTAGCTCGAAAATCTCGTCGAGGA